CCTCTTACCTAGTCACTTTTCTCCAAACCTTGGTGAGACTTTTCTTCCCATTCTTCAGGTGAAGAAGCTGAGACTCCTTCTCCCACTGAGGTGGAATAACTTGTCCCAGCTACACAGCTGGGAGTGTAGAGCTCACTTCAAATCCACATCTGTGTGGTGACAAGCCCTTTCACTTTACCATGCTGCTTTCCAAGGTGAGAAGCTCACTTGGAGGCAGGCAGTACCTCCCAGGTGAGGCCAGGGGGAGGGCTAGCAGGATCTGCAACTTGTGGTCTAAGGGGAATGAGACCAAGGCCAGGGATGCTTTTCTCTCAGCCCCAGGCCACCCATATTCTGCCCATTCTCCCTCTCCCCACATGTGAATTCTGGGATTGACACCATGTGGTGAGTGTAGGAAACGCAATGGAGAGGGGCTCAGCCCAGAATAATCCCCTCCTCTTTGAAAAAGTGCCTCTAATGGCACTGAGCCTTCACTCATGTATTATTATTGAATATCTGCTATGCATGCCAGGCAGTCTCTTTTCTCAAATAGCTTACAGTCCAGTATAAACAGATGACCAGAATATGGCATGGTAAACATTACAGGAGAGAAAGGCATGGATTCTCTGAGACTCCAGAAAGGGGCATCTAACCAGCCTGTGGGTGGAAGGTTGGGGAAGTTTCTTTGAGCAGGTGACCCTTGAGTTGGGTTCAGAGATGAGGACTCGCCCAAGTGGATCATTCAGAGGAGGATTCAGTGGAAGAAGGAAGAATGACAGAGGGAAGAAAGTGCAAAGTTGTGAAGGCCAGATGCTTTCTGCTGTGTGCCAAGAATTGCTAACAGTTACCTGTTGCTGGGCTGCAAAGTTCTAGAAGAAGATGGAGAAGTGGCGAGATAAAGCTAGAGAAGGAGGCAGGGCCAGATCCTGAAAGGTTTGTGTGACAGGTTAAGTCATTTGAGTTGTTCTCTAGGCAAAGAGAAGCCTTTTAAGGGTTTTAAACAAGAGATTGACATGTCCAGATTTGAGTTTTAACAAGACTGTCTTGGCTGCCTTCCATCGGTGGGAGGATTAGAGGGAGGTGAGCCTGGAGCTTCAGAACCAGTTAGGAGGTTCTGAGTGGTTTAGGTGAGAGATGAGGGCATTTCTGGTGGAAAAAGCCATGAGCCATCAGTCTGAACAGAATTTCTGCTGAGCCTAGGAGAGAGCGCAGAGCTCTGGAGGTGAGACATCTGAGGTTTCATGTACCTGGAAGACAGGTGCTGCTGAAAATACCCTGGTATGCATTTTACAATCTGTTTGTCTTAGAATCTTTATGTGTTTGGCAAATGACTTAATGTGTTCACTGGTCTCTTTATTTGCTGAGCATCAGCAGCTGTGGCATAGAATCAGTTATGGCTTGTCATCGTCAATACAGCCTCCAAGGATGTGCCTGTTCTCAAGTCCCTGGGTAGAATATTTGGTCATATGGAAGGAGGACAGGAAAAATAGGACAAGTTTGGTAACTGGTTACTTCCTGCCATCTCTTCCATTGCTGTTTCCATGTGGAGGTGGGAGATGCATGAAAATGATCTCTAAGTTTCCTTCCAGCTCCAGAGCTTCAAAGCAAGACACTCAAATGATTCTTTGCCAGCCCTTCCCTAGCACTGGTCCACCGCATGGCCGGTTGCCCTAGCTGGCCTGGGTTGGAAGGACTTAGAAGTCCTGTTTCAAGGCTGGCTGTATGCTGCCTGATTCTTGAGAAAGCTTGAAGCAAGGGGCCTGTGGAAGAGTCTTCTCTTGTTGTCATCCTAATGGACTCTCAGAACTGCCTTTCCATGAAAGGAGAGGGCCTAGTCCTGCCCCATCCCACTGTCTGTGGGCCGTCAAGCCTGGCACCCCACAGATTCTTGTAGTGGCAATCTTCAGTGTTGCTTATTTATTTATACAACCCTCTGCCATTTGGGGCAAGGCCCCTGTGACTGCCACTGGGGCTGGGAGTAATTATGGTATTCTGCAGGGAGGTGGCACACTCATCACATTCTAGCATCTTCCCTGGAATTGCCTTTGATCCAGGTTTCTGCTGGGAAAGTAGCCATTAAGAGATGTCTATCTTTGGTTTCATTTACATGGGAGAAAAGAGTACTAAATTGTCAAATAGATGGTTTCACGTTCTCCCAGTTGGCCTCCATCCAGTCTGTGTCCAGAGTCCTCAGAGCCACCTGGGAGAGCACCAGCTCCTGACCCACACTGCCATGGAGCCACTTGGAGACCTGGGACTGAGATGCCACATTTTGAAGGAAGGCACCAAAGGTGGAGGGCTTCTACACGGCGCGTGCTCATGGCGCGTGCTCATGGTGCGTGCTCATGGTGCGTGCTCAGGTGTAGGAAAATGTTCTTCCTTCTTTTCCTTTTTTGCTCATTAAGCAAATAAAAGAACTCTGGGATTCTCTGAAATATTCATGATTATATCTTTTTTTCTGTTACAAAAGAAATAAAAGCCTATTAATGAAAACCCAGAAACTAGTGAAAATAGAAATACTCTACTGGTTACCCATAATCCCCTTGTCCTAAAATAACTAGGATGTCAACAAATTTTCTTCTATTATTATTATCATCATCAATACTATTCATAGAAATTTTTGGTTAAACATAGTTGCTTTACGCCATATGTTCGATTGGGGCCTTACTTTTTTCCCTTTAATACATTTTAATGGTTGCGTAATGTTCCATCCAGTAATAGGTTCAAATTTATTTAATCAAATCCCTGTTAGACATTTAAACCGTTTCTAAGTCACACTGTGATAATCAGCTTTATACAGCCTTTTTTTCCGTTTTGGGATTATTTTTCTTTGCATAGATTCCAAGAGGTGGAACAATTGGATCAAAGGGTTCATCTGCTTTATGCTTTTGATACATGTTTCCATAGTCCTCAAGTTATTTCTAAAATGATTTTTGTCTATTTCCACTCTCACTAACAGTGGCACACTCTTTAGCACTGGGATTCTGAGATTTATTATTTAACAGTGATCATTAGATGAAAGAGGATGTCCCATTATTGGTCTATTTCCTCTCCGTCTCTCTCCCCTCCTCCATCTTTCCTCCCTCCCCCTCTCCCTCCCTTCATTCCTTTCTTCTTTCCTTCCTTCTTCCCTCTTCCCTCTTCCCTTCCCTCCCTCTCTCCCTCCCTTCATTCCTTTCTTCTTTCCTTCCTTCCTTCCTCCTTATTCCTTTCCCTCCCCCTCTCACTCCCTTCATTCCTTTCTTCTTTCCTTCCTTCCTCCCTCTTCCCTTCCCTCCCTCTCTCCCTCCCTTCCTTCTTTTTGATTTCTAGTGACATGGAAGAGTTTTCCACTTGTTATCAATAGTTGACCACAGGTCCCCTAATGCCCTAACCTGGGATTCCAGAGGTTGCCAGCATCCAGGAGGCTGCTCTCTGCAGGGCTCTAGAATGTGGGAACCTTGGTGCCAGGCTCCCATTCCTGCCGGGAGACCCTGAGACCCCAAGGCCTCCTCATGTCAGAGAAGTAACTACTGGTTTTTACATCTGGAAAATGAGGGGGTTGTGCCCTAAAGGCCTTGTCTTAGCTCTTGTGTCCTAAAAATCTGCTTCTGTAACTACGTGATTGTGGACCTTGGTCTGGCGGGGATCCCAGGTGTCTTTGCTTGGGCACATTTTGGACTATCTGTACTTACTACACCCTTTGTTGTCCTGAACCATCTTCCAGACTCAGAAGGATGGGAAGCTGTTTATTTGCCATGATTCCATAGTGAGCACCCCTGATTTGGCCTCTTTTATGACCTTACTGTGATAGCAGAAAATCCTAAACCTACTTCCACCTGAATGTTCTGGGCTGGAATGACCTGGTTTTATCTGTGGGGCAAGGCTCTCTATCCACTTGGTCGCAGGGGTGGGCTTATGCCCTCCTAGGCAATCAAGTTCTTTTCCTGGAAATGAGGAGTGCCTCATTGCCAACCTGTCAAAAGCTGGATCTTCAGTGGCCAAGGACCTTACCACATGGAGGGGGCCTTAGAAGAGGAGGAGACCCACCCTGAAGAGGAGTGGAGTCTGGTGGAGATGAGAAAGATTGAAATGGTAGCACTGAGTCCAGGCTCCCAGGTCCTGAAGTCCTGCTTCCTATAGTTCTGTGCCCCTGTCCCAACCCTAATATTCCTCCCAGCAATATGAACTATAAGCTTCCTTTGTTGAATTAAGCCAGTTTGACGTGAACTCTCCCTAGCTGCCTGTAAATAATTCCGACTAACATATCAGCTGTGAATGCTTTTCCTATTCCCCATTCCTAATTGAAGTCCTTCCAGATTTATCCTTTTCTGTTCTTTTTTGTACTTAAGTTTTTCTTGGGAATTTTATAGCTTCATGGAAGGTTTCAAAAATAGAGATCCCATGTGCCGTTCCCTGGAATTCTCTCAATGGTTACGTTACATAACTATAGCTCAGTGTCAAAGCCAGCCAACTGACATGGGTGGAATCCACGACTCCTTTTTTATTTGTTAAAAGAATGCTTAGCTGTCCTTACAGGGAGGAGTTGGAACCCCATTATTGCACTCAGGAGTCTTAGAGCCCGAGGAGGAGGAGATGCACAGGGAAATTAAGTTGGGGTGTGATGTGTGACACCTGGGCAGGTGCAACATGTTCCCCTCACCGAACACTTGCTGTGTCCAAGCAAACCAGGCACTTGGTGTTATCTCCTTAAGCCACCAGTACTGTTAGCCCCATCTTTCCTTTTACAGAGAGAATGAAACTAAAGCAACTTAAGGTCACAAAGTCATTAGGGAACAGAGATAGAGTAAACCCGTGAAGCCTATTTTCAGAGTGTTCTTCCTAAGCATTATGCAATGAAATTAATAGCAAAGGGTAGAATTCTTTTCCTGAGCCTCCTTGGATCTTTCCTCAATGTCCCATTTCTCTTTCCCCCTCACGCTCTCTTCCTTTCTGACGCCCACTTGGGTTCCTGGGGTTAGCCACTCTAACAGCCCTATTTCTGGCTCTCTCAGCCTGGGCTCTAATAGGGGCGTTGTTACCTGGGTGCACCCCTCAGAAGGTATCCAATCCCTCCACACAGCAGGCAGGGTCAGAGGGGAGGCTGTCTTCAAAGACATTGAAGGGCTGGGGTCCTAGCCTCACTCCCCAGGGATCGCTTCTTGGTGGTTTAGCACTTTGAAAAAACCAAATAAACCAAAAACTGCCAGGAAACTAAGAGAAGAAAGTCTTGCACAGCAGAGGAACACGTTTACTTGTCAGTTCATGGCTTCAGCTCTCAGCCCCAGGTGATGAACATGGTGGAGACGATGGAGGTAGTGGGCTGCTGATGCTCTTGGTGCCTCATTCTGGGGGCGGGCAGGGCGGTGGGCATTTAGGAGGACAGGGCTTGACACAGGGCTTGGGAGGGCAGGGAGCTGAGCATGGTGGAGGGCACGTTGGAGGGCACGGTGGAGGGCACGGTGGTGGGCATGGTGGGGGGCACAGTGAGCACTTCGGTGGTGCTGGGCACCTTTCCCGTGGGCACTTTTCAGAGCACCGTTGCAGCAGCTTCTTTAAACAGCTAGGCTGGCATTTGTTCTCACACTTTTGTTCACACCTCGGTTCACAGTTCTTGGGCTCATTCTTGGATTCGCTAGATTTATTTTTATCATCACTCGACATTCTTTCTTGATTTTCTGGGCCCTGCAAAGAAATATGGGACAGGTTGTATGTGGGAGACTATACTGCAAAGGGAGAGAGGACCAATACCTCCTCACTCACATCTGCTGCCCATCTTTGTTCTTAAGAAAGCCTGTCCCAGGATGTGTTCAGGCCCTAGACCAAATTCTCGTTTAAGGACTGTCCTCTTGTCCTTGTAGTGGATTGATGATGACATTTCTTGATCTTTCCTACCTTGCTCTGCCTTCTTTTCACTTACTCTTGTTTCCTTTCCATAGCATCTAGCAGGAGTTCTTAACCTAGGGTCCTGGCCCCCCCCCCCCCCCCCCCCCCGCCCCAACAATAAGAACTGTATTTAACGATGTATTTATCACTATATTTGGTATCTTCTGCAACCCCATGTATTTTATTTAATTCATTTAAAAACATTTTTCTGAACAGTCCATAAGTTTGATCAGACTGCTAAAGACATCCATGGCACAATAAACATTTTAAAGACCTGTAAGACCACTGCCCTATCCTTCTGGAAAAGGAGATGGAAAGAGGGTATCTTAGTGGACTTAGGGACCCAGGACACTCTCTAAATCCTATGTCCTGCCTAAGCCCTCAAAACCCTGAGAATTGCTCTCTTCACTGAGGACTGGGGATGGGAAGATAGCTGAATCCCTACCACAGCTGGGCTCCTGTGAACCACTCTAGGAACTCCTTCCCTCCAGGGGATGAGGGTAAGGGAGGAAGTCAGGAAAGGAGGCGATGAACTGGGAAATTCTAATTCCTCTGAAAATATGAATGTTAGAGCCACAAAAGATAATTTTAAGGAGGAATTCCTTTTCCCCTTTGTTGAGTTTTGTCTTGAGCTGGGTCTTCCTCTATGGAAAGTTTGACTTCTAGATGCAGACAGGGCTTTTGAGTTCTGACAATACTTGCAAGTTGCATCTAATTGGCACACCTTTGATTTCCTTTAACAATATAGAAGTAAAATTTTATCTAATTTAGTTTTAAAGTCAGTATGGCTCTCTGGAGAGGTAGATCATTAACTAGTACTCCAAAATTGTTAAGAATCTCTCTTTCAGATGAATTGTTCTCCAGTTCTTGCTACTGAAAATGAGAGGAAACTTTCACCCAAACATAGCCATCATCTCAACTCTGTTCAATGCCTGGGGTGCTGTAGGTCACCCAAGGAAAAGAAGAGGTAAAAGAGGGGGCATTTCCAGTTGTCCAAATGCAACTCACCCCTTTGTGTTGGTAGTGAACTTGACAAGTAGTCGAGTGAGGTGGATGGTATGGCTGTGCTTGGGAAGGTGGATTTTCCCTCTAGTTCCTCTGCCCAGCTCTGAGGAAGCCAGGGGCTGGGGGAAAGGGGAGTCCCACTTGTGACCTCATCACTGCATCATCAAGTAGCGATTGTTGTGTGACTCCAGAGCTCCCAGTTCAACTTAAGCCCTTGAACATGAGAATAGACTATGATTAATCACACCCTTGATCATCTCGTTCCCTTCCTGGGTCCCTCAAAATTCCTGCTGATGAAATCAGGCTATGGTGAAGACTACAGAACCCTAAGCATAGGGAGGTTCATTGTTGCTAGGAGCAGAAAAGCTCTGTTTACACATGGTCTCTCTTTCCTCCCCCAGCCTCCCAAATTTAGCTGCTTTGAACTTGCTCCTTCTCCACCTTTCTAGGAGAGCTTCTCTGGATTGGTCACAGCCATTTTAACTCTCCTCTCCTTCCTATTTTTGTAATATGAGGTTCTGAAAGCTCTTCTTACTACCTGACACTCCATGGCTCAAGTCCAAGGATTATTTTAGCTCTTTTTTTCAAGGTCTGTCTATAATTCACTGTTTGTTTGGTTCTGTGATTGTTTTTTTCAATCAGGGAGTGGCCACCCTTGATATCCAAGGCAAATGCAGCCTATTAAGAGAAATTGAGTTTGATGTTCCTGACCAGTCCTGACCTCTTGGGTTAAGCTCAGATCCTGTCTTAGAGTAGAAAGGTTTGCCTCTGAGAAAGTTCCTTCCTTGACTTTTCAAAGACCTGGCCAGTGGGTCTTGGTGGCTGGAATAGGGGTGTGTCTGGGGTGGTAATAGGAGTTTGGTGTGGGAAAGGCAACTGAGGCTTAGACACATAGTGCCCTAAACTCAGATCCAGAAAGTTCATCTTGGCAGTCATTCACTGACGAATCACAGTGACTTTTGGTTAAAATTGTGATATGATCATGTCTAAGGTGTTGGAAGATATTTCTAACAGCAAAGGGTGGGATGGATTGGGGGATGGAATGGTGGAGTGAAAGTAGAACTGGGGACTTTTGAAGAAATTATGAAAATATCCAAGTCTGAAGGAAGTCAGTGGTGGTGATGGAAAGAGGGTGGCAATGAGAGAATGAGAGAAACATCATCAGAGATGCAAATTTATGGGATTTGGTTAATGGAAAATTAAAAAGAAAATTTAAAAAGTTGACTCCCAGGTGTTATTGTTAATGGGCACTGAGGAAACAGAACAGGTTTGTGTTAGAAGAAGATGGGTTTGAGTCTGAGAATGTTGAATGTGATTGCAGTGCAGCATCTTGAATGGTTATTGGAAATACGGCTCTGGCCCTTGTACCACTGGGCAGACCTGAGAACTTGAGTTCATTTCAGTCCAACTTTTGATTACTGAGTGGTTGAGAAAGAGCTGGTCCAGAGAGAGGATTGAGGGAGAGAAGAGAAATGTACTGGGGAGAATGAAGAATCCCAATACAGGGTTTATTTGCTATTCACAGTGGATAAAGAATGTCATATACAATTGAAACACAAGTGAACCTAAATGAAAGGGGAGGGTGGGTCAGAATTTAATTCCATGCCACTGGGATAACTAGTGTTAGACCCATTGTCTTAGTGCAGCCCACTTCTCTCAACTCATTTTCCTTCCTCCATAATTTTGTTCATAAGATTTATCTCATCAAAGCTGTTGAGCAGCAGTTCCCACACCCATCTCAGGAGACTCAGCCCCAGCTGCTGTTTAGTTCTGGACCAAAGCTAGCAATCTGGATATGGAGAAGGCAGTCATTTGTGACAGTGATGTCAAAAGATGTAGTTATTTCCACTGGCCATTGTTGGCTGTTGTATCTTTTTCTCTCTCCTTTCTTCCCTCTCTTATTTCTTATTCAAGAAATTCCCACTGAAAGAAAGAGTATCATTCATTGGACTTCCACCAGGAAATTTGCCTATTATCTTCGGTCTTTAAAACCCTCCTTTAAAGCTCAGGACTCCTGGCAATGTTACATTTGGTATCCCAGTTACCAGCCTCTCCTTTGGTTTAGGGTTTGGTTGGCAGCTGGCTGGCATCAAGGCACTACCGAGATGAAACACAGAACAGTCTTCTTGAGTGGCTGGGTCTCAGAAGGAGAGAGACTGGAAGGGGGAGATGCATAGGTATCAAAGCCCCCAGTTTAAGAGTGAGGACCTGGAAATTAGATTCCTGGGTTCAAATCCTACCTTCATCCTTTACTTACAAAATGACCCCTCGTACTTTACTTAACCTTTGTGAATCTCAATTCCCTCATCTATAAAATGTGATAGAAGCACCTATCTTAGGATAATATGTAACATATATTGAGTGCTTATAACAGGCCAGGCACACTTCCAAGTGAAAAGCCTACACTCTCATCCATCATACTGCCTCACTGTTCTCATAGGTTGTTGTAAAGACTAAATGAGATTCTACGTATGAAGAGGAGCCCCTGATAAATGTTCGCTATACATATGAGTTAGTGTTTTTGTCACTGCTTTCCTGGCTTCGTCGTCCCGTGGCTTGCTGGATCTCTCCCTTAATCTCTCTCTGTCTCATTTTCTGATCTTGGTCTTTAAATCCCACTTCTCTGTATCATTTTTTTCCACCTTCCAGCCAAATCTCCTGGTGGTATTCACAGGAAGATTAGATATTTCAGTATTAACTGTTAATGGATGATTTCAGTTTTGAGTAAGGAGAGTTAACATAAGTGTTATAATAAAAGACAGTAATTTAAATATTCACTAAGGCCAAAAAAGTCAGCAGACCATTCAGTGGTATCTCCTTGTGAGCTTGTAGGCCCTGTATATTGTGTCAGGGAATTCTGTGGCAGCCATTTTAACTTCACTTGGATTCCCCTCTCTGTTTTGTAGGTGAAGTCTTTCTTTTTTTCTGTCTTTTTCTATTTCTCTGCGTAGTTCTTATTGAATAGGCAGGACTCACAAGATAAAGTCAGAAAATAACTTTATTCCTCCCCTTGGTTCTTCTTAAAAATCTTCTGTGGGGCTGGCTTTTCCCTTCCTCCTGGGATGAAATCTCTAACAGATGCTGTTGACTTTTTTTTTTTTTAAAGATTTTATTTTTTTCCTTTTTCTCCCCAAAGCCCCCTGGTACATAGTTGTATATTCTTCATTGTGGGTCCTTCTAGTTGTGGCATGTGGGACGCTGCCTTAGCGTGGTTTGATGAGCAGTGCCATGTCCGCGCCCAGGATTCGAACCAACGAAACACTGGGCCACCTGCAGCGGAGCGCGCGAACTTAACCACTCGGCCACGGGGCCAGCCCCTGGATGCTGTTGACTTTTAGGATCATGCTGGGACAATAAGAAGTTCTCGGGTCACTTCTATTTACATAAACACTCTTATTTCAGTAATAGGAAGGTGTATTTCCTGAATGTTGGATTTCTTTCCCTTTCCCTCTTGGGACCAGAAAGGAGAGCCTCTTCTCTATTTGTTATTTGGCATTTGTCCTCTTCCTTCACTCACTCAGCTGGCCCTGGTTTTGGGATAGGAGCGGCAGAGGGAGGAGAGAGAAGGAGCAGGAAAGTTCTGACCTGATTGATACTGTTTGGATCTCCTGATACCTAGGAGCTTTCTGGGCTTGGCAGGTGGTAAAAGCTGATGTTGTCTTTCACAAGGTTTGGGGAACTTGAATGTGTTCTTCAGCGCCCCCACCCTCCGCTGGGGTTTTGATGGTAGTTCTTCAACATTGGTCTACTCTTCTCGCTGGCTGTGAATGGCTCCCGCAGTGCCCAGGCGTTAGCAGCCCTCCTCCAGCCTCTCTCTGCTGGGATTACCTCACTTCCAGGTGTCCCTCTTGAATGTGGTTTTACGCAGCCCAGAGAGCCAGCTCTCCCTCTCCTGGGGGCTGTATCTGGCCCAAGGGGAAAACTCACAATTTTCCCCTTTCATAGTTCATCAGTTACTGTTGGTGATGTTTTCCTGATGTTTATGTATTTCTGTTCATTCTTTATGTATTAGGCAAGGGAAGTTCTATGATAGCTTCATGAACATGGTTCGGTATTTATCCAATTTGTCTTTACCATAGTATTTGGCACTGTTGTGTCCTCTTTTTTACCCCTTTCTCCTTGGCTTCCTCTACTGCCTGAATAGTGTCTCTTTCTTTCTCTGGCCTCATCTACTCTCCTCCATGATCTCTTCCTCCTTTGCTGAATCCTTTCGACTTCACCTGGCTCCTTTCAGTTTACACACTTGCTGCCGATCTCTTTCTCCGCTGTTACTCTAACTACCAACTCTATGCCAAAGAATCCCAAGCCCACACTCTGCCTCTTCTTTAGGTCCAGATATTAACATCCATCACATGTACTCTGGTACCTCAAACTGATTTCAGAAAATCAGAATTCATCCCTTTCCACATCTTTTCTAACGTGCCCCTCTTGTGTACTCCAGCTCTGTCAGTAGGGTCCCCATTCACCAAGACCTCTCAGCCAGAAACCCAGGAACCTCCAAACCTCCTGCCCCCCACTCACCCCCACACAAAATGTGCTCCTAGGATCTTCCAGTTCTATTTCCTAAACCACAGGCTCCCCACCCAGGCTGGTGTTTGGATGTCTCTCTCGAGTCAGTCGAGTCAATTGCCCATCACCCTCACAGCCACTGCTGTTGTCATTGTCACAGGTCTCCCACAGTGCCCAGCTCTACCTCATACTCCACAGCACCGTGACAGTGAATTTTATAAGACAAAAGTCTAATTTGGGGCCCGCTGGTGGCATAGTGGTTAAGTTTGCATGCTCTGCTTTGTTGGTCCCGGGTTCATGGGTTCAGATTCCAGACAAGGACCTACACACTGTTCACCAAGCCATGCTGTGGTGGTGTCCCACATACAAAATAGAGGCAGATTGGTACAGATGTTGGCTCAGTGACAATCTTCCTCAAGCAAAAAGAGGATGATTGGCAACAGATGTTAGCTTAGGACCAATGTTCCTCACACACACACACACACTCACACACACACACACACACGCAAAGCCTAATTTACCATTGAATTTAAGATGAGGCCCAAGGTTGTTAGTTGGGTCTACAAGATTCTTTTAGCTCAGTCTTCTCTCTTTACCATAGATTCTGGGGCTAAACTACTTGTGGTTGTCAAAATGTGCTGGGATTTTTCATGTGCTTTTTTCTCTGCCAGTCATCTCCTCCTTCTTCCTTCCTCCAACCTTGAACTCATAGGGAGTTTGCCCTGGGCATGATTTGTCTGACCATCCCAGGCTGTTAGTTGCCTGAGCCAAGCTCGTTTTGAGATTTTATCCTCATATTTTGTAGTTATTTATTTCCCAATTTTTCTTCCTCATGTGATGGGCTAGTTTAGAAGGTCAGGAACCACTTATTTTTATCTCTGTACCTCTAGTGCCCAGGACATGGCCCAGCACGTCTTAGTCACTCAATAATTAATGCTTATTGTCAAGGAAGAGATGCAATAATATTATCTCAATCACTTTGACATTGCTTTTCTGTCAAACTGGAATGTCTTCCCCCTTGTCTGATTGATATTTGTTTGTTTCCACCTTCTAAACTCATCTTGAGAACCCTGCCTTCCATGCAGACCTCCCTGGTCCCCATCCTGCTGTGGTCAAAATATGCCATCTCTGAACATCTCCCATGTATTCCCTACAGCTGGATGCCATCACCTGTTCTGCTGGCAGGTGATGGCCCTGTCCATTCCATCTCCTGCCTCACACAGGGCCCAGCTCCAGGGAGGGGCCTTCTTATTCTTCTTTGCATCTTTAGGGCTGGCCCAGGGTCTGATATGTAACAGATGCTCCATGAATGTTTGGGGAATAAACAAATAGATATACAAGAAAAATCTAGCAGGGGAGTTAAGAATAAAATGAACTATCTGTCAGAGGAGGGAGATCTGACTTCGTGCAGGTGGAGGTTACAATGAGGAGGTCTGTCTTCAGGGGTCAGCTTCCATCATCAATATATCTGTATCAGTCCAGAGACTCCAGGAGGCAGGCACCTTTGGGTGTTATGCACTGGAAGTCCCAGACCACTCAATTTGTCCAGGATGCAGCTCCCATCTGGGTCGGGTGCCAAGCAGAGATGGACTCACACATCAGGCTCCAGCCTTGAGTCTCCATCTCCCCTTCCCTGGAGCTAGTGTCTCCCTTGCCCTGAACTGCCCCTGGCCCCCAGTACACACTCAAATTTCCTGCCTGGTGAGGACTTCTTCAGAAGTAACGGGAAGACAGGGGATGGGGTGGGCTCGGAAGGGCGGCAGCTGGGTGTGGGGTCTGTGAGGCAGTGGGTAGATGGGAGTCATTCTCTTGAGTGAAGCCCCCGGTTCCCTCCTCTGTGACCTATACTCTCCTCAGGGCATTTCCTAAGGCTTCCCAACCAGCTTCTCTTTCCTGCCTGCTCCTGTGGCTCTGTCACCTTCTCAGCTCCCTGCAAGAGGGCATAAACTGGGATCAGACCGGGACAGATGTTTTAATGGAGAGAGCAGAGTTGAAGAGAAACCCCCTCAGAGTGTTGGAAGTACCTTCTGCAGGCTCAGAGTGCAGAGGGAGAAATCCGTGCACCTAGTCAAAGACTCAGGACCAATTTCCTTTGTGGAATGTGGTACTGCAAAGTCAGGAAATTCTGGGGGAATTTTCAGGTGATTTAAGACAGTGCTTTTTAGTTTCTGAACCAACTGTGCTTTACAGCGTCTTCATAGTTTTTGATAAAATGGGAGGAGGCAGAGAACTCTGTTTTCCTAATGATCCTCTTCTGCCATGAGGAGGCAGCACGGGACAGCAGAGGCTGGAAGAACCAGCCCTGTCTGATGTAACAGAGGAAAGGGGAATGGGAAGGACGGGCACATCCGGCTCCAGGGACAATCCTGAGAGAATTTGTGTCTAATCTCTGCTGTTTTCTGGGAAGAATCTAGGAAGAGTCACTTAACCACCGGTGGAAATTCACCAGTGGGCTGTGAATATTTTATCCTTGGAGTTCATGAGAGTTGGGATTTTGTGGTGTTACGGGGTGCTCAGGGTTGGGGTAGGGGAAGGAGGTGCATGTGGTGAGCCTCAAGTCTGGATTTGGGTGCTGGTGGCTTCAGAGGCTGTCATGTCTGCTTTGGTGGGCATTCCTGCTGGTGTGGTGGGCACTGCACGCAGAGTGTCCATGCTGGCTGGGAAGGGTGGGCAGTGCTCAGAGACCTGGGGAGGAGGCTGGTAGGGGACTTTCCTTTCTTGCTGACTTGTCCTTTGTGATAAGACCTCTCTCTCAGCTCTATGGGAACTCTGCAAGAAACAGGAGTCTTTCATTTGTAGGCCAAGATCTCACAATTTAACAACATCCATGAGGGAGAGTAAACCCAAGCATGGGGGGCGGGGAAGGGCAGGGAGTGGCACACTGTCCCTTCACCCTCTGTGATTATGATCTTTCCATTGGATTTCACCACAGTCACAGGAGACACCATGGCCACAGCTGCCCCAAATCCAGTTCAGAATGTGGGTCCTGTGTTCACTTCCTAGAGACATTTATCATTGTGTTTGTCCTGTCAGGTCCACTTATTTTGCAAAACTCCTTAGAGTAAGAGGAATATTGTCATTCTGGAATGACTCAAGATGACAGAGATGAAGAAGCAGGAAATCAGGCCATGTAAAAAACACTTAAAAAAAAGAAGGATTGGGATGGTTAACCTGGGGAAGACAATGTTTGGGAGGGCAAGAAACTTTATAGAAGCTGATTAGTTTTCTATTGCTGCATAACAAATCATACAACTCAGCAGCTTAAACACACCCATTTATTATCTCCTGGTTTCCACAGGTCTGGGGTCTGGGCACAGCTTAGCTGGACCCTCTGCTCGGGGTCTCTGGAGGCTGCAATCAAGGTGTTGGCTCCTGTGTTCCTTTCTGGAGCCAGGGTCCTCTTCCAAGCTGACTTGGTCACTGGCAGGATCCAGTTCCTTGCAGTTGTAGGATTGAAGTCCTCAGCCCTGAGAAGCCACCCACAGTCCCCTGCCACCTGGCCCTCTCCATAGGTGGTTCACACAGTGGTATTGCTGAATTCATCAGCCCCCCAGTCTGGGTCTAACCAATAGTGTCTGGTAAACCTGCTGGGGGAGGGGTGGGAAAGCCCTGGTGTGTATGGAACATTTGCTGCTTTTCTGAGTATAAATCCTCCAACCATGGAGAATTTCAAGCTACTAATGATTGAACAACTGGCTTCCAAAATTCTGGATATTGAGCAGTCAGCTCTCATGGGTGTCATCTCCACCACGCCACTGGGCTTAGACCGAGGGCTCGAAGGCTGACAAACTAAGTGTCTTTTATGCCCCCTCCCCCTGCCAGTCCTCCCATCTGTGTCTCCTTCAGGAACATTAAGCAGAAGGAATGAAGTGTCTTTAAGTTTTCTATTAATTATAACAAATTACCATAAACTTGGTTTAAAACAACACAGTTTTATTCTCTTACAGTTTTAGAGGTCAGAAGTCTAAAATCAAGGTATTGGCAAGGCTGTGTTCCTTCTGGACCCTTCAAGGGAGAATCTGTTTCCTTGCCTTTTCTAGCTTTTAGAGGCTGCCTGCATTCCTCGGCCTATGGCGCCTTGTTCATATTGCTCCAACCTCTTTCTTCCATCATCACCTGTACTACCACTCAAGCTGATCCTCCTGCCTCTCTTATAAGAACCCTTGTGAGTACATTGGGCCCTAGATAATCCAGGACACTCTCCCCATCTCACAATCCTTAACTTAATCCCATCTACAAAGTCACTTTTACCAGGTATGGTAACATATTCACAAATCTGGGGATTAGGATGTGGACATCTTTGGGGGCCGTTGTTTATCCTACCACAAGGTTACAGCCATCACAAATATACATGACTTAGAGTTCTGATGGCTCTTATATTTGCTGGTCTCCTCTACAAAGTTTTGTGCCTTATATTAGCATCTCCATAAAAATTTAGTAAGAAACAGAACTTACATAAGTATCACTCATTGAGGGTGCCCACCCCTCAGTGCTTCAGGAGCAGTTTTGAAATTATTTTGTTTCTTTTCTTTTAGCTATTCCTTGCGTTAGAAGTCCCATTCCTTGTATCAGAATGAACCTTAGAATATCCAATGTAGGAGTGGGGTTTGGTCTTTGAGTTAGAAATACATACCTTATAACTGTACACAATAGAGGTCTAAGATTGCTTTGAATCTCTTCTTTTCATTTGGCATTGTAGCTGAAGTGTGATATAATAATCTAAATATAATTCACAGGAAATATTTACTCTCCCCTCCCCTCAGTGTCCTGCAGACCCAGCGTCTATCTCTTCACGGACCTTCAGTAACTCCCTCACCAACGAGCTTGCCTTCTCTCCCTGGTGTGTCTTTCCTCTGGAAAGGAGGCTGAGGAGCTGAGGGTAGAGCTTGTTTTGGGGGCTAGTTGGCTGGGTTTGGAGACTAGGGAAGGGGGCCCCAGAGGGAAGGAGTTTCAATTCATTTACCCATGCCCTGTTTCCTTGGCTAAGCCAATACTCTCTTTCCTATAACTCCTGCCATTCCCCAGCCCCCCAAACCCAGCCCTTTACATCCACAATGGTCTGGGCATTAACTGAATGAAAGTCCAGTTTCCCTAGTAGTAATATTTTTAATGAGTCAAACAGAGAGGCTGCAGCATGATGCCAGCAGGATTGGGGGAGGGGCTCAGAGCCAGTGTCAGTCCTGGGAAGGGTCCAACTAGCAGTAAGAAATGGCGGGCTGCGGGGAGCTCAAGGGGTAAGGAAGGCAACTGGCTTCAAAACTTCTCTGAGGCATGGAGGAGAGGAGAATGGCTTCTCAAATAAATTTTAAGATCATTTTGGAGAATTCCATTTTTCTTTGTGAAATATGAGGAAAAACTAATGTTTTCTTTCCTTTATGGGATTCTTCTTCAGGCTCCAGAGGTAGAAGTTGTCAGAGAGAGACCAACAGTGTTGTGGGTAGAGGTGCAGTGGTGGAAGAATGACCTTGTTTTGACCACTTCAGGTGATGGTAGCTAGAAGAGAACACACCTGTCCAGGCTCCAAGGAGCTCCCTGAGCACATGTCACAGCCGGCCAACCTCTGCTGTCTGTTGGGTGTAGATCGCAGAGGTTGGGGATTAACTGTGGAGGCTTCATGATTCACCATGAGTTTGGGGAAGTAGTCTTTTCTGGGGCTAAATGTGGTTCATGTTATTGGATGAAGAGAGAAGAGAATCCAGTTACCTCGTGAGCAGGTTGGGGAGGGTGGCTTCAGAAGGATCACTTCTGCTTTGGCAGATACTCCTGCTGGCATGGGGGATGCTGCACAGGGGGGCATTTTTGCTGGCTGAGGGGTGGAGAGCAAGGCTCAGGTCCCTTGGGAGGGCAGGGCACAGGGACCTGGGGAGGGCGGGGCACAGGGATCTGGGGAGGGGGCTGGCAGGGGACTTTGCATTGTTGCTGTTGCTGATAAGACATCTTTCTTGGTTGAAGAGATTCTGTAAGAAATAGGAGATACTTTTTATTTTGTTGTTGGTACTTCTCAACTAAACCATCGCAGCCCTACCATCACCCTCAGGGGTGACCTTCCATCAGACTTTCTGGCACATCTGCCATGTCACAGGACTCAGCACTAGCAGCTGCCAAATAAGGAAACAATTTGGGGCTTTAGGAGGGTTTTTCTGTGGCCAGCTCCTCTATGTGGCCTGAGGTGACCACTCCTGGGATGTATGGCACACCTCAGGCTCTGACATCTAGGTGGTGCCCTGTTCAGGGGAGGGGGACCAGCAGGTCCAGCATTGGCATAGCCAAGTGTAGAGATGAGGAACAAGAGGACTTAGGTCAGAGAGACTTGGCTGTTGGCCCCTGTATCGTCACCTACTTGCTGTGTGAAGAGGAGCAAACCAACTCCCTTCACTTTTCCTCAGCCTCCCCCTTGAAATGGGGCTAATACTGACCACATCCTAAGACTGTTGTAGGAATTAGAGAGATAAATTTGATAGAGAGGCAGGTACTCTGTGAGTGCTCTGCTGCTAGTTCAAGAGAAGAAGACAAGGAGAAAAACCCCAGAAATCATATCATGGTGTTTGTGGGGAATAAAGGGTCATGCTCATCCTGGGGTAGAGAGGAGTGGAGGACACGAGGGACAAGAGAGCTTCCTGTCAATACCTGAAAGGCCACCCCACTGAGGGGTGTGGGTGTAGAACTTTCCAGCAGAGATAGCAGAGCAATTCACATTAGACATGATCAGAAACGTCCTCGATGGGTTGATGACAGAGGAAGGCTCCCCTAGCCTGATTTGCCCTCCTCAGATACTTTTGGAGGTCCACACGTCCTTCATCTAGATGCTTTCAGCCTCACTCTGCCGAGGACGGAGGCTGCACTCTCTCTCTCCAGGGCTTCTCCCCAGCAGGTAGTCTCTGACCGTGGACAAGATGAAGGATCTGGTCCTTCCTGCCTCAGGATGGCCATTCCTCCTGCTCACATGCCTGCCCTGTGGCCAGTCTCTAACCTTTCCTCTCTTTCCTGTTACCCCATTTCTTAGCTCACTCAGTAACAATTTATGAGGGGGGTATTATAAACCCTCCCCCTGACTTCAGTGTCCAAATCAAGCAAGCTGTAAGCAAGAAAGCAAGGGCCATCTTACCTCTAAACATCCCAAATTCTAGAATATAAGAATATTAGAACACTATCTTAGTTTTTTTTCTTTTTAACTTAATGGTCCTACCCAAGCCCACTTTCTTGTCTAGCCTGTGACTGCATGCAAACTAAGGAAAATGAAGGAGACCTGGAGTAAAAATGGGGTCATCTGTTGTCTAGTTTGTCCTGAGTTTCCACGTATTCCCTTTGGAACTTTGGATAAGCCACTTAATATTTCTAGCATGCATTTTGTTTCACCTGAAACTTGTTACAATATAATGAACAATCTCCAAATTTCTTAAAGAAAATTATTCTATAAGTTCCATTCATGAGATGCCTGCAAGTCTATCCATTAACTCACCCATCTTTATCAATACCAACCTTTCCAGTTCCCATCAAACACAATGAAAAACCAGAGTCAAGGTCCACGTTCAGCATCCCCTGTCTGCAGCCCCAGAGCAGCCTGGGCTCCCCAGCAGCTCTCCCTAACTGGCTGAGCCATTTCACTCACCTGCCTCTCCAAGTGTGCCTGTCTTGGGAGGATGGACCCAAGTGAGCTGAGGAGGCTCCGACCCTCGCCCTTTTATTGTGGATTCAGCCTGAGCTGAGGGAACACCTGGGATTCCCTCCTGACTTCCTGGTTCCAGATGTAGCTCTCCAGTTCCTGAAAACACTTGCCAAACTCCTTCTCTGAAGAGGAAACCCTACTTTGGTATTACCCAGTGAGTAATGGCATTTCCTTCTCTGCAGGAAGGATAGCCCAAGATGAGATGGATGTTTCATGTGTGTATCAGCCCATGGTCATCTCCTCAGGTTTCAAGAGGGCAGTTCACTTGAGTGTGGAAAGCCAAGGTGAAGGGTCTTCATGGGGCTGGATTCTTGGAGGCTGGGCCATATCATCCAATTTCACTCAATCCTCCACTCTCCATGCTTCTTCTTTTGTGCCATGATCAAGATTCCTTTTAAATCCCTTGCTGAACACCTGCCTCTCCACCTTGCATTTTGAGAAGGTCTATTAATCAGGAGTCTCCAGAGAAAAAGAACCAATATGATGTGCATATGTATTTTTTAAGGAATTGGCCCATGTGATTGTGAAGGCTTAGCAAATCCAAAATCTGCAGAGTAGGCAGGCAGGCTGGAGACCTAGGGATAGCTGCAGTTCAAAGTCCAAAGGCAGTCTGCTCATAGAATTTGGTCGGTCTTTTTTCTATTACAATGTTTACCTAACAGGATGAGGCACACCCACATTACGGGGCATGATCTGTTTTACTCAAACACCACTGATTTATATATTAATCTCACCTAAAAAATACCTTCTCAGAAATATCTAGAATAATGTTTGACTAAATATCTGGGTATTGTGGTCCAGCTAAGTTGACACGAAAATTAAGCGTCACAGCAGGTGAAATCAGGCAATCCTCAATCCCACTAGTGACTTGAGAAACACATACACTCACACACACATTCATACACACATGCGCACTCCCACCCACACACACACTATAAATTCCAGGGCAAAGCCTAGTGTGATAGAAGGTGGAAGTTGAAGACCCTTGAATAAAATTCATAATTTTCGAAAGTGATTCAGTGTTCTGCCCTGTACTTCTTGCTTTCCCTCAAGACACTGCCCAAGCATCAGCATTCGGGGCCTCTTAGGTCCAGGAATGGCTCTGATCTTTGGTTTCATGATCTGACAACACAGACAAATACAGAAATAAGCTGCTATTACTTCTCTCTCTCTCTTTATCACGCTTATCATTAATCCCAGATTTTGACCTTCCATTGCAAAGTAATGGTTTAGATTTTCCTTTGAATATTCAATGGTTAAGAGTTACTTATGGAGCTTGGGAGTCCAGAGTTTCTGATGCACTTTTGGCTCAAGATATTGCTCGGGGCAGGCACGAACTGTCCTCTTAACCCTTCTTCTGCATGCCTGTGATGTCTTCACAGCTCAGTAAGATGCTCTGAGCCGGCAACTGTGAACTAGTGGTCCCCAGGCTCAGACCCCTGTACTGTTCTGAGAAAAGGAGCGCAAGAGAGGAACTGCCCCCCAGCACACAAGAAAGAAGTTGTAAGGCCTTATAAGGCACAGGGGAAAGGGGGGGGAAAGGGTTGGTCTTGTGTTTTTCTCCATGCCCTTGCAGACATGAGAGGAGTCATCCCAGCTCCTTGGACTGACCCAGAGAGACTTGCAGAAAGAGGGGTCAAAGGGGCAAGTCAGCTTGAGGATGCCCATGGAGAAGGTGAGAGACATGTGGAGCTCTGGGAAGGGGAGTGGCTGGTTCTGGAGCACAGGCCAGCTTTGCAGGGGATTATTCCACTGAGGGGAAAGCACAGGTAGTGGCAGTGTCACATCGGGAGGCCATGCCTGCTGTCTCAGCCTGTTCAGGCTTTCCTCCCAGCCTCAGGGCAAATCTGCCCCAGGAGTAGCCCCTTGCCTCAAATTGGGCTCTGTGCTTCCACGGCGCCCTGAGCGTAATTTCGCTGTTCACATATATCTCATCTCATTGTCTATTTATACGTGTCCTCTCTCCTGGACTGTGAGTTCTAGGGCAGAGATGTGTTTCTGGCACAGCCCTGTCCTTGCTCGTGGTTCACAGCCTGGCACATTGTAGGCACATCATGACTGCGTCTAAAGTGGCCCGCAGGAGCACCTGATACCTACTGTCAGAGTCGTGGGCGCAGTGATTCATGTCTCTGCGACCTCTTTCTTTCTGCTTAAAACCCTTGGAGAAGAGAGTAGGGGAAGAGAAAGAGTCTTAGTCCCAGCCCAGGAAGCCCAGACTCTCAGGAGACCCCACTCTTTTTGTCTCTTCACACCTGTCCAACTGCCCTGAAGGCCTGAGGCGTGCTACAGAAAGACCTTCCAAGGGAAATGCAAATGTTGCCATTGGGGATGTCAGATTTGGTGTTTTGGAGCATAGCCAGATTTTGTCAGTGTTTTCAGGTATTGGAGGTGAATATTCCACAACCAGGAAGTAGTAAGAAACCTCTTAACATTACATTGTTCATTCTTTACATATTACATGTCTATGTCCTTCCTTCTGCTTTGGAATATAAATGTCTTGAGGACAGGGACTCTGTGTGTTCCAGTGCCTGGAGCAGTAACTGGCACACCATGGAGACTTAATCAGTATTTGCAGACTGACTGCTGACTTCCTCTTGCTAAAACAGAAAACTGGTGAAAACAAGCATTGGTCCTCTCTTCATGAGATCTAAAATCTCTGAGGCCTGGAATAGCCTGGAGATATAAGGAGGGAGATGGTACTCTACCCATGGTTGGACATGGCTGAGGAGGGTTCCTGATTATCCAACATGAGAATGATGAATCAAGAAGGACAGGGAGAGAGAGGGAGGGAGGAGACAGGAGAGGATAGGGAGAAACGGGTGGTGGTGTGACCATAACCAGAGACTAACAGAAATGGAGAAAGAACAACAGTGACAGGGTGTAAAGGTGAGAGAGACCGAATGAGCCAAACAGACAGTGTGTGGACTGAGGCAGACACTTGAGAGCCTCTATTTAATGGGAGCAAAGTTAGTTTCTGAAACTGAATCCCAAGGTCACCAAGTGGTTTCTGGCACTTGAGTCAAACTAAGTGGTTTCCCAAAGGGAGGAGTGAGCCTACACCTGTCTCTTCAAGCACTGACCTGACCTTCTCCTGGAGCTGCTCCTGACAGAGCTGCTCCCCTCTAGCAGGTGTGTGCACACAGGGCCGTTTGCTGCCCACCGGGCTCCTCACCAGCACGTGTGCCTCTGGCAGCCAGAGAAGTTCGTTAAAAAGAGACCTCATTCCCTAGCTCTCGGCTTTCTATATTATAGACCTGAGGAGCAAACTGAC